AATTATTTAAAATCCGTAGACCTTCGGGTGTCACTCTTAATGTTTTCAAATCAAGCTCGACACCACGAGCTCGTAGGTGAAGGCCGTTCGTGAATCGAGACGAGGAAGGAGAAGTGATGGACGTTAGAAGTTTCTTAAATAAAATAAGAATTTAATACTTAGGGGTTCCCATTACTTTGGGAAAGGGACCAATTAGAAAAGAAGAAAATGAGAGAAGAAAAAAAATAGTAAAAAAAAAAAAAACACTCTAGAAACTGCCAGATAGCAGCAAGGGAGAAGGAGGAAAGGAGAGTGTGGAAGAGAAAAGGAGGGGGAGAGAGCCAATCAGATAAAGGGGAGAAAGCAGGGAAAAGAGGGAGGAGACGGGTCGTTTTCGACCCGTGAACCATCAATTTTGACCCAGCTGTATCTCCCTTATCTGACCTCCGTTTTATGTGATCTTGGTGTCCATGGAAAGATCTTGACAAGCCCAACGTCCCTGTGGTGTTATATTTCTAAATTTCTAGCCTAATTTTAAAATTCCAAGGAACAATGTTTCGGTTTGTTTTGCGGGTTTCACCATTTTTTTGGTGATTCCGACAACGATTACTGTTGTTCCCCACCACCAATAGACTTCCCTCAACCCCAGGAGCATGGCCCAAGCATTGATTGGGGCATCGAATTAAAAATACCCAAAATTAAGGGTTTACAGTTCGTGGGCAATTTGAGATGTTTTCCGACCGAATTGGATTTTGGCCCAAGTATAAAAGTTGTTCCCTTTTACTTTCTCTACATTTTTGTAAATTTTGAGAATTTTTAGAAATAGTGAAATTTTTCAACAAGTTTGGGCGATCGACCGCCACCCACGGCGACGCGTGGCCAGTGAGCCGATGCTGTCTTTTTAAGCTAATTTCGATATTCTAAATTCATATTTGATATGCATTTGGTGTGACTCCCTTGTTTGAACCTAGTTAGTGATTGTTAGTCACTTGAATGTTTTTCGGAAATGAGTTAGGAAGTGAATGGTGAACTACGAAGGGTTTGATCCTGCTCAAGGGTACGTAGGTTGTCTATTAGAGGTTAGGTGCAGCCCTAAATAATCGAGAATTAATCTTTTGTTGAGAAGTTGTTTTAATAGAAGAAATTTGGGGATTTAATTGATAATTTAATTGTATGTTTTGATAATTTAAAATAGGGATATAGTTTTGTGAGGAATTAAGGAATTGCAGTAAAGAATAATGATTAATGGTAGTAAATTAGACAAGAGTTTAAATTGGGCTTATCATCGGAATTATTTCCCAAAAATAAGTATTTCGGGGGTGAGGTGTTACATCTGAGTTTCTACTGACAGCAAGCAAAACATGAAGGATCTGTTGTATCAGTTTATATAGGGGACACGCCCAGTGCAAGTTAGGTTCTTTATGTTTTTTCTTTTTTTTTTTGTTTTCACTCTTTTGTCCTTATCATTAAATAAAGTTAGTGGATGGTTTTTTTTTTAATATAAAAATTTAAAACCCTTTTTCATTAGTTTTCCTTAATTTTTTTTGTAGAAATGTTTACAAAAATAATTACAATAACATGAAGTTAAATTGACTTAAAAAGTTAAAAAAAAAAAAACCTTCTATGAAATTATCACATAAAATTATATAAATCCTGAATTTAAAGTTTATACTATAAGCCTCTCTAAGGCCATCTCCAACCGATCTGACCAGAGGGTCATATGACAGAAAATAGCCTAAAATGACACGAAAACCGTCTCAAACCGAGAGTTAGGCCAAATGGCTCGTGGGCCCCACCGGGCCAAAAAAGGGAAAACAGGCCAACCGGCTAGCCCAAAGGAGCAAGCTAGCTAGCCTCAGGCTAGCCCAAGCATTTAAATCCAACAGCTACCTGATGTCAGCATGACGCCAGCTAGCCATGAATGTTAGATTTGATTTTGTTTTTTCTTGACAAATTTAAATATTTTTTTTAAATTCCCATTTTTTTCCTATAAATATATAAGCCATTCCTACATCATTTCTCATATAATTTTCACCATCCATACTATCTTCATTCTATTTCAATTATTCACATTCTATTCTCTTACCTCTTCCAATAATCTTTCCTTCAGTTTTTTCAATAGTTTTCAAATGGCCACATCTGCAATGAAAGGTAGGGCTTGGACTTTAAAAGAAAATGAAGCTCTTTGCATGACTTATAGATGGGTCTCGGAAGATAGTGTGAGGGGGAGTTCTCGAACAAGTGAAGGTGTTTGGACTTGTACGTACAAAAAATACTATGAGTTCTACGAAGACACCACTCCACCGAATACCCAAAACCACAAGAGTTGTTCTTCAAGATGGAAGAAACGTCTTCATTCAAGTTTGAATAAATGACACCAAGCACTGTTACAGGCCATAAGCAGATATGAAAGCGACGCCAATTACTAAGACAAAGTAAGTGTTTTCACAATTTATTTTAAATATTTAATTATATTACATTTAATTTCATAAATGAATTTCCTTTAGTTTTTGTAATTATATTTTCTAGGTATGCCAAGCGAAGGAATTGTATATGGAAGACAACTGGAAACCCTTTAATCATCACGGTTGTTGGGAAATTTGTAAAGGGTAGGTGTTATTTGAAGATCCACCTGAACAAAGAGTTGGTCCTACACCATCCTTAACTGCAGATGGCGATGAAGATGGATCTCCTACCATTCAATAAACAAGGGTAGAAAATCTGTCTCTGGGTGAAGGTTCCATATCTAGGGTTATGAACAAGGCCCGAAAATTGAAGGAAAATGGCAAGGCAAAGGATGATTACGCATTTCAACATGAAATGACAGCCTCTTTGCGATTAATGGTGGAGCAAAATATCATTGTTGGAGAAGAAAGGAATCGTAGGCACGAAGAACGGGCCAAACAAATACAAGAAGAGATGGATGATAGGAATATGCAAAGGAACACGTCGGATTACACTCCAATGAGTAAGACCTATTTTGATAGGAAAAAGCGGGATATTATGGCCTGACGGGAGTTGTTTACCTCTGACTATAATCCTACAATGGCTGATGATGATGATGATGATTATAGACTTTAAATTTAAGTTATTGTAGTTTTTAAATTTAAGTTGTAGTTTTTAAATTAAAATAATAAATAATGTTTGGCCTATGACCCTTTGGCCCCCTCAGTTAGATATGGTTTTTTTTTTTTATCATAGGGCTATATTTGGCCTATGGCCCTCTGACCTCTCAATTGGAGATGGTAAGAAATATGGCTTGGCACTGTTCATTAAAATATTAATTTCTTGGAAGGCTATAGGACTAAAATGAGCTATCTGACCCTTATTTGGTTAGAGATGACCTAAATGAGTCCTCAAATTTCGTAATTGTGGGAATTCCTCTAATTTAAGGTTTACACTATAAGGACTATGAAAAGTTACTTTTGATGTGCGTCGTTATTAATGATGCTCTAATTTAGGGTTTATACGGTAAGGATCATGAGAGGTTCCCCTTGTTGTTTGTAGTTAGCAAGCAGCACAAATGCAATTCAACTCAACAAGTGGACCCTACAATCCGTACTATACAGTCTCCAAATTAACTTTGCGTTGAGTCTATAAAGGCTGCTGCTTCATATAATATATATATGTGTGCGCGCGCGCGCGCGTGTGGTTGATAGGCGCAACCCCCCGTTTTTTGTCCAACATGACAGCCTGCGTTGGTGAGTCAGTCGCCTTTGTTTATAAAAGAAGATTATGTATCTTGTAATTAGGCACGCCACTCGTTAAAGTCGTTAACTGTATTACTCTGAAGGTGTCTCTTCCAGAAGATAAGAATGGGTAGTATCTAATATTCTTATCTTTACGTGAGAAATGTCCCCACTTGACAAATATTAAACTCCATTATTTTTAAATCCACGACTAGTCAATCTCTCAAAGATTCGAAACTTAGGGCAGAAAGGGCACATAAGTCCATCTTCAACTGATCTGATAAAAAAATTAAAGGCTTAAAAATAGCTTAAAATGATTTCATGTTGTTAATTATTGATTGGATAATGTTAAAGATACTAGATTTGTAAACAAAATTTTGAAAACTAAGTTGATGATTAGTTTATTACTTAAAAGTTAATAAACGTTCTCGTTCCTATTGGTAACATATCATTTAGTTTGCAATTTTTTCCCCTAACATCACCCTTATCAATTTACTTTATAAGACTAAAGTTATGTTGCTAATTATGAATTCACTCAACACAACTAAATTAAATATTTTATTTTGAAGGAGATAAGAGAAATCTGAAATTTACTATTCTTTTTGGCCGGAAGAAATTTACTAATAATTGGCCCATTTTAACGTACAATATGCAACCCTATAAATCGAGAAATTACCTTTCATTGAAAGGATAAATAGTTAAAACTAAAGGGATAGCAAGGCAATGTTTGATACCACAAAATGCTTGGATTCTCACGACCCTAATCTCTTGATAAGAACAGGATAGTCCTAGTTTGTTGAGAATGAATTTCATATTGATGGGAGAAAGGGTTTTATATGTGCTTATATATAATTCAGATACTTTACATGTTGTCAATTAGTTTTATGACGAAACCTTAACTTTCTTGATTCTATCACATTAGGTTGTCCCACGTGTGAAATCCAATGGCTACATGCGCGCCACGTTACCCTATTTATGTTGTCCACATGTTTGCTTTAGAAATTCGCTGCAAACGAGGAAACGTCTTGAGAATGAATTCCACATTTATAGGAAAATGGACCGTACATATCCTCAAATTCTTTCATCTAGAAGAACAAGAAAAAGAAAAATTGATAGGTTTAATGGTTGAGATATTTCACAGAAGCTTCAGTCCTTGTAGGCTTGTACAATGTTGGTCAAATACTCAAAAGTCTTCCAAACACGTTTTGAAATATCAACAAAGAAAAAATCAAAGATAGTAAGAAATTAATACAATAAAAATCCTATGTCTCCACTTGAATTTCTTAAACATTTTATCGTATCTGACATCACAATAATTTATAAATACTGCAGCTCTGTGGTTCATTCAACTCATCCAACTCATCCAACTCCTCCAACTCCTCAGAGCCTTTTGCAATTCTTTGATACGTGCCAAACCAAGAGCAAAGAAAAACAAGGGTTTCCTTTATTACAAACACAAAAAACAATCATCATCCATTTTTTTCATACACAATGAAAGGAGACGGGAAGAACAAGAAGTGCCTAGCATATGTTGCTATTTTCATTGTGTTTCAGATCATAGTTATCACAGCCTTTGCACTTACCGTGATGAAAGTCAAGGGTCCAAAAGTCAGATTTAGCACAATTGTTACAGAAAATTTCAGCTCTCCAGCCGCCAACTCTCCATCTTTGAGTTTGAATTTGGTAACCAAATTTGCAGTGAAGAACACAAACTTTGGTCATTTCAAATATCAAAACAGCACTGTCACAATCTACTACGGTGGACAGGCAATTGGTACTGCTGATATTCCTCAGGGAAAAGCCAAAGCTCGATCGACTCGGAGAACCGATGTTATCATTAGCATTAACACCGACAAGCTTTCAGGATCCACAAACCTTGGCAATGACATCAACTCAGGTGTTGTGCCTCTGACTAGTGAGGCTACCTTGAAGGGAAAGGTTGAATTGATGAAGATTATCAAGAAGAACAAGTCTGGCAAAATGAGCTGCAGCATGTCAGTTAATTTGAAAAACCGTGATATCCAGGATTTGAAGTGCAAATGAACAAAATTTTATGTGGTTTTGGTTATTTTCGTTCATTGTGATATATTTATTTTTCCTGGGAGGACTTCATTAAGTCTCTCTCTTTGTTTTTGTGTTTTTTTTTCAGCTTTTGGGTGTTACACCTGTTTTTTGTAATGCCTTTCGGATTGTTGAGTTATGTCGATTATATATATACATTCTTTTATATTCGTATTCATTTGGTGTTGAGATTAATTTGGGATTTTTTTTTTTGTGGGCAATGGAAGACAACAATAGCAAGCACAATAATCAAGTACTTTATTTTAAAAATAGAAAAATAGTACTTTTTTAAAAATTAATTAAAGTCTTTTTGTAGAAAAATGAATTCTAGCATGCTTAAGTGAGTAAATGAAAGCCCTTCTGTTTCTGTGGTAAGCCAAAGGGAAACTGGTGTGAAAAAAGGTAAAGATTATGAATCGTTAAGGGTTAGTTGATGTAATGTTGGTCTATTTCTTTGAACCCCGGTTGAAAGTCCCATCATGATATTTTTTTCAATTAATCGCATTCTTTATGTAGTATCTATTTTGTACGCGTTCTTGTTATCTTAATGAATATCATACATATTCCTAAGAAAAATGTAACAAAAATATAACCCAAATGTAACTAGATGTTGAATTGGAAATAAACATCTATTGTAATTAATGTCGAGAAATATATGTAACTTTGCTTCCTAAGATAATTTAATTAAGGTAGGACCTTATTTGTCGCATTAGAAAAAACAAGGATGTATCATATCGGTCTTCTTTTAAAATGTGCATATTAAGGGTTTCTTTGTACCGATTTTAATCTCCCTAAGATATTGAGGCCGCCAAATACGAAACTGGCAATTGGCAATTTGGCACTGCTGGCTGCTGCCAAGGATAATTTAATTGGAAGGCCACCATAGCAGGTAACATTTTATAAAGAAATTAAAAAAAAGTAGAGGACTTTTTTTTATAGTAGTAAGAATTTATTAAGATTCCAATAAGAACGTACATAGAACAGGCGGGAGTGGGGTGCCTATGATGCTCATTTGGGCAATTGGGAAGGAGTGGTTTGATTGGCATATGAGTGGTGGTTGTTGAGTATGACGTGGGTGCCTACGATGCCCATTCCAGCCGGAGTGCTTAAGTGTAAATGGATTGTAAAATCTTGTTAGGACTCCGATGGTGGAATAATTCTAGGGTATTTGTTGAGAACCACCAAGTTATAATATCTTACGATAAAGATGTGAAGGTGCCTTACTCACTCCGAGTTGGACCGACTGAATGGGTTCATATATTCACTATTCTGAAGAGGTGGAAAACATGATCTCGCAATTGCCCCTAATTATGTATTCGGAGGGCCTTGGAGAACAAGACCATCACCTCGCCCAAAGTGAGATTCAAGTCATAATGCATGATTGAGTCATCTTTGTAGAATTTTTATTCTGACACCAAGTACTTAGCGGAATGTGGAAGTCGTCACTCTGAGTGGGTGCTTAGGTGCTGGGCCGAATTGGTAAACACTTGGCACTTCCAGACGAGAGACTGAGGATGCTGTTGAGTGACTCAGACAAGAGGAATCATAAATTAATGTCTGATCTTAGTTAGGTGCGTAGACGCAGAGGTTGAGCCTGGGGTGAACACTCGGGTTAGTTTGTCATGTCTGGCTTGTGTCAGTGGGCGCTAGGCTCGCGCATAGTGGGCCTGGGCTCCTCATGTTGGCTTGACCTGTTCTGCTCTGTACGCGGGCATGGGCGGCAAGGTTTGTTGTAGTTGCTGTGCCCGGAAGGTTTGGGCTTTTGCTATCAAGGTTCTAAAAAATACTAAGCGTTAGTCGGGCGACGAGTAGAGGCATAATATTCAATAAGTATTTTACAATTTATTGAAAAAATAAAATACAAAACGAAAGTTATTTATTTTATGTCTAAGTGATAGTCGTGACCTAAGGGAGTGCCAAGGAAGGTCGAGGCGCCCTTTTTTAATTTTAATTGCATAGGGATTAATCAGGCTGGTGACCAGCCGCCTATTACCTGGGCGGGGCCTAGGCTGGGCTTGGCTGGAATTTTCATAACAATGGCTCTTGCAGCGTTTATTGCCATCTATTGGGTTGTCATGGCAACATGTAGTGGTGGCAAAGGGTGTCCAACCACCGTGTTCGCGAGGAGCGGCGGAGCTGGGCCACGTCATGGCCTCCATTCTCTGGTCTACATCTAGGTACGTAGGGTGTACTATTTGTTATTTGTTATGGTTTTAGAACTTTCAACCATGTTCTCTTTTCTTAAATGACTAATCAAAGAACTTTATAAAAAAATTTAGAGACTAGGAGCATGCAAGAAAATCGAGGAGGGGGAAATTCAACAACGGGATTACGAGAGCCTTCTACGAGAATTAAATTAAGCTTTCAATGAAAGCATCAATTTGTGGTAGCAAAAATCCGTTATCTTCTATCTTGATAAAATCATTTGATCAAAGACCAAAGCCACGCGCCCAAGGAGTTGGGGAGGGGGGGGGGAGGGGTGGTTGTAATACCAAAACAACAAATATGATTTTTCATTTTGTGATTTGAGAATGCGTATAGTAGTTTAGTCCATGGTCTAAAATATCGATATTATCGGCGAAATATCGTCGATAATATCGTTTTTTTTAGAGGGCGATATTTTCACACTTATCCACTTAATTATCGTCAACATATCGCGATAATATCGCCGAGGCTCCATCATCGTAACTGCAGTCGAGGCTTCGTCATCGCAGTTGCCAAGATTTGCGCCTCTCTCTGCAATCCATGCTTAGACCCATCAAAATGAGCAATCCCTTTTCTCCGGATCCTAAAACCCGCTTGGGTTTGATGGATCATCCGCCTCGTACGACCTAAACAAGGCCTCCCCTTGCCTGATGGTGCTCGCAGGGAGGTGAGAAAGGGAGGAGGAACGGTCCACAGGTGGTGATGGTGCTCGCCGGAGTGTGCGGCACTGTGGTGGAGGTCACAGTGGGGTGTGGGTGTGGTGTGTCTGTGCTCCAGGAAGGAGAGTTGCAGAGATGGGGGGAGAGGAAACAAGGAGAGGAATGAGGGAGAAGGTTCGAGGGATTAGGGAAGGGGGAAACACGGGGAAGGTGGGATGTGTGTGTATCTGTCTGCTCTAGGAAGAAGAGTTGCAGCGAAGAGATGGGGGGAGAACCAGAGAAGAAACAAGGAGAGGAATGAGGAAGAAGGATCGAGAGATTAAGGGTCTGTGTGTGTGTGTGTGTGTGTTATCCAAGAGGAAAAAAAAACATCCAAATAATTCATATAACATTTATATATATATATATATATATATATATAATATAAATACCCCAAACCCTATAAATAAATCTAAACGCTATATATATATATATATATATATATATATATGTATGTATGTATGTATGTATAAATCTCAAACTTTTGACAACTTTTGAAAAGACAAAAAGTAGTGGTGGTTTCATACTCAAAACTGTGTGCCACTTCCAACTCTTTCACATTCCCAAAGGTGGAGTATCAGATCATCACACCTTTTTTTACTCTTCGAAAATTGAAAAACCTCTATTACACCTTTTCGTTTCTTCTTCTTCCCTTAGCCCTTTCAGAGCCTTTCCAGAGCCTGCAGAGGATCGTCGAGGTTTTGTTGCTACGTACGACATCGAAAGTTCCAGATTTGTTACATTTGTGTAATTATTATTTTATTGTTGGTCCACGCAAATTCTATTTGGCCTTTACACAAAGGATTCCATATTTAAGGTAAGTTTACAAACTTATATTTACATTATTGTAATTTATACAACAACAAAAAAATTTGTGTGGACCCGTGCTTGTGATCTAAGAACCAAATAATACTTGCATGTTAATTTTTTGAAGTAATTTAGTAATGTTGTATAATTATTCTCTAGGATAATTTTAATATGTTTAATGTTATTTATTATTTTATTATCAAATTGGATTATTATTCATTAATATTAGGTTTTATTATTCCATATTATTTTTATAATTACTTAAATTCTTACAATCATTTTCTTTACTTCCTAGTTAATTCTTTTGTAGAATAACTTTATTATTTAGGTTCTCTTATATAACTGTCACTACTATATTTTTTGGCCAAAAAATAATTGCCTAATTTCCATGAAAAATAAATATAGGTATGTTTAAGATGTCTAGTGGAGTTACTAAACGTGATCCAGCTTGGGAACATGGAGACCCAATAGACGGAAACAAACATGGCACAATTTGCAAATATTGTGGTCAAGTAAGGAAGAGTGGCAGAGTGACACGACTTAAATACCATCTTAGTGGATTATATCCAGGAAATAATGTCCAACAATATGATAATGTCCCCCCCAGAAGTGAAGGCATTCATCACCACATTATTAAAAAAAATAAAAAACACCAGAAGGAAAAGAAAACACATGGAATGGAAAATATTCGAGCTGGGCTACGAGGAGAAATCATTGGCCAAGCGATTGATAGTGATGGTGATGACGATGAGGACGAATGTGATGATGACATGGGACTTGAAGAACGATGCAATTTCAAACAAGCATTACGTGCCTCCAAACAGTCAGCATGGGAAAGAGAACACCTTCATAAAATTCTTAATAGAGCACAAGGTTCCGGGACAAGTGGTGGTGCACAAATGAGACGGGGAGCAAGTGTTAGAGAATCACAACCAACACCACCAATAGCCCTAAGTTTATATAAGTCATCCAAAGCACGTCAAAAGCGTGATTGGAGTTATTTTACTGGAGGTAATGTGAAGGAGGGAATGGGGCGTCTAATTAGCAAGTTCTTTATCTATGAAAATGTCCCTGCTGAGAAGGCATCATCACATCATTTCAAAAATATGGTATTGAGATGTCAACAGGCTGATGTTGGAGTACAACCTCCCACTCCCTATGAGGTAAGAAACAAATATTTGGAAATGGAGTATAAAGACATTGGCGAGTATGTTAACAAGTTGAGGTCAAAGTAGGAAACTAATGGTTGCACAATTATGTGTGACGGATAGACTGGCTCGACCAGATTGTCTATCATAAACTTCATGGTACACTCCAAGGAAAAGAATTTTTTTTTGAAGTCCGTTGATGCTTCAGACCATATAAAGAACTATAAGTATATTTACAAATTATTGAGGGATGTAATCATGGAGGTGGGAGAGCATAATGTTGTCCAAGTTGTGATCGACAACGGTTCTGCATTTGTCAA